TTTAACTCTCTGGCTCTGGGTTTTATTTTCCTAACAATTATGCTGCCATTTCCTACTGTCCACAGTCTTCCACTTCTTTCATTTTTGGACCATATCAAGTTGGGATAAATTATAAGTTTGACTCACTCAAGATACCAACTGAAATCATTATTCTATTTTATCAGTGTCCAGAATGTAAACAAACAGGGCAGATTTGTTCTTCAGTAAAATCAGTGTTATGCAATGGAAGGCTGTGATTTCTTAGTATAATAAAACTGCAAGCAGTGTGACCACGTGGTGTCAGTCACAGAACATAATGCAGACACAAAAAGTTGAGAGTCTCAACGGGCGGGTCTAGACAGAGAGAGCACAGATGTTTTGGTGGAGGGACATTCATTATCTACTGAGCATTTGGTGTCCTGAGTCCACCTGGGGCAGGCTCTCCTTGGAAGCATGAAGTTGTCTATCAAAGTCTTGTTCTGGATGTTTCACCAGCAGTCCAACTTCCCCTTCCTCACCCCCATTCTAATTCAGCCCCCATTTCTGTGTCCCACTTTGCCCAAGACAGTCCTGGGAAATGATTCAATTCCTTCAGGAAACCCATCATTTTGTAGAAGAGATGAGGTCTATTACCTTGAATCTGTAGGTGACAGTGGGTGTCAGCATTAATGTTATTGAGGGCACAGCTGGAAAAGGAAGTGTGCTAATTTGCCCTGAATTAATGGATGCTGGACTGGGTAGGGTTATATAATCACCGTCTCTGGTGCAGGCCTCATTTAAAGCTGAATGTATTTTAAGCACTTATAGCCCCTCACACATCCCAAAAGAGCCATGCCAGGACCTGTAGATTTCAGACAACATTGTTCTTCAGGCCATACTTCTGCCCCTCAAAGACTGAAAGGACACTACCACCCAAGGCTTGCCCCTGCTGGTCCTCCTTCTTTTCCTTCCTTGCTTTCAGAGAGGCTTTCCCTGAAGTCTTGATTTAAGACAATACAGCCTTTCTTCTTCCTTGCTTATTTCTTCTCCATAGTGTTAATTGTCAAGCTATCCACCACAATGCCAACTTAGTGATGTAGATGATGTGTCATCTTTTTAATTTTCATTAGAGAAGCACCATTGGTTTACATTTTTGTTAGTGTTTTGGGAGTATAGAATTTCCCCCCCTCAGGTGCAAAAACCTATACTTGTCTGCTTAGCAGAGATGAGTGGACTTCCTCCCCAAAATGGAGTTTTTCAAAGGAATAGAGGAATTAAATGAAAGAATTCTCAGTGGCCATATGGAAGAGATAATGTGGTGTATGTATACACACACACACACACACACACACACACAATGGAATACTACTCTGCAGTCAAAAAATTAATTCACGCCATTTATGGCAACATGGATGGAACTGGAGGCTATTATGCCAAGCAAAATAAGCCAGAAGGGCAAAGATAAATACTGGATGATATTACTTTTCTGTGGAATATCAAGAAACCAAACAAAGTTTGTCAAAGACAAACTTTAGATTCAATCCTTGATGATGTGTCTTCTTACTTAGGACACCAGCATCTAGAGGGCAGGGGACAACAGATTCCTTGTAAATCTAGTAGGCTGGGTTAACAGTTTAACCAATCAACTCAATGCCGTCCAGGGATGGATCATGTTACACAGGTTATGTTGGACCTGTAGGAATGTTCTGACAGGTCTATGACTCCAAGCTCCAATTTAAAAACCAATAGCAAGACCAGATTTGATTTTACAAAGTCGAGTCAGTCAGTTACCTGGGTGGGGGAAGATGTAAAGAACAAAGCTTACTGGAATCTCTTATTTTGACAAGTGCCCTCATAGACACGCTGGTCCCTCAGGTCATAGGCTCATGATCCTTCGTCAAGCAACTTATAAACATGATAGGACTGTGGACTTTCTGGACATTTTCTTTGCTTCTCACCAGAGGAACTCTTCAAAGCAAACAAAGTTATTGTCTTGCTGACTTCATTGTCCCAGGCAACCTTGCCAGGGTGGAAAGGACATTTCTAGCAGAGCAAACCATAGATTTCTTTCCTTTTTTGAGTCTACAGCACCTTTTCCAAAACCTCTTTCTGTAAGCATGTGCCATACAATGTAATACAGTTACATTCTGTTGTCATCGTCTGTGTCACATTCTGGTGTACCCAAACTTGCAAAATGATTCTTTAAAATGAAGGTAGACCAAGGGTCATTCTTAGTTCTGTGAGCTCTATGGGTTTGACAAATGCATGTTGTTAAATGCAGCTTTCTTCATAGTATTTTCCCAATAAGTTACTTGTCATATTAAGATCATTTTTGCAGAGCATAAACTTTTAATAAAGTGCAAAGGCCTGTTTATTATTTCATAGGTCATGCTTCTTGTGTTTTATCTTAAAAGTTATTAGCAAATCCAATGTCACATATATTTGTATTATTATGTCTTATTTGAGAAATTTTATACTATTGCATTTTACTTTCATGTTTATGACTCAATTTGAGTTTGTTCATTATTTAATAAAGTTTAGGTCCGTATCTAGGTCCATTTTATTAGTGTTGTTGGCTTTCTGTGTTTTTTTTAACATCTCTAGTTTTTCAGTTTTATTGTCTTTTTATTGTATTTAGTTGTTTTGGTTTACAAAGTAATTATGGTCTCCAAAAATGAATTGGGTTACGCATGAGAGGCAATACAGAGGCAGAGTGAAGTCACTGGGCTCACCACCACCACACTCACAACACTGTGGAGAACAACATTGATGCCCCTGAAAGAGAAATGGGTGACCAGGGCACACACCAGGAGAAGGGACCAAAGGCAAGAAACTGGGAAAACTTTAACTGACCTGCTTCTATAGTTATACGGGAACAGAATTAAACCCCCTACAGATGTGGACTCGGGAACAGAAGCCACATTAGGGCCTTTGGAGACTCAGCACTTCCCTCAGCGCTGGGCACAACCCGCTGGGCCATCGGGGAGGCCCCATTTTTTAAGATATCATACCAATTCTTTGCAGCTCGGAGTGTCTTTCTGATGGTAGAAGGTACATGAATACTTCATACCTATAGAAGCACACTCTTGCCACACTCATGTAGACTCACATGTACACACTTGCACACAGTGCAAGACATGCACATACACCTAAAGAAAATAGTGCAAATACCTTATTCCATACTCACTGCTAGCTCTGCTTCACACTCCTGTCTCACTGTCTTATTACCATGTGACCTCTCTGACATTTTATAAATTTTCTAAATGCTTTCCAAAATTTTCTAAATTTTCTAAATTTTTCACTGCCTATTACAAGAATGTTAAAGGATTTTTAGGTCTCTGGCGTCCGATGGGTTGGAAGTGTGGGTGCAGTCATAAAAGGGGAGCAAACACAGTCGGTTTCAAACACCAATTTAATGTGTCCTGGCATAGACATTTTAACTTAACAATCCATTTCAGACTGTCTCCTCCAGGCGGAGAAAGAGCGTCCAGATTCCTCCATGCCCCAGGGCCCTGCAGGTAGAACAGGTCACCTGAAGGCGCCCCTGCAGTGGGAACCAGTGTGTGCACAGAGGCCGCCTCCTCGTGCCCTCTGGGACCTGCGTGGGAAGAGCAGAGCCAGTGAAGCCCAATCATGGAGGAGGCTCTTTCCTTAGTGACATTCCCCCGGGAAGTGCTGCACGGACTCAGATGCAGCAAAGTGCCAATGGAAACGAGGAGGCCCTACCGAGGCACCACTCCCTGGCGGGCGAGCGATTCTCCAACTTGGAATCTCCGTTGGGAAAAGGGACCCAGTCCACGGGGACTTCCTACCTTGGATGTCATTCCCAGACAGCGCCAGTCAGCCTGAAGAGCTCCTGCACTGTCTGCACTGTCTGGGTGCCCAGGGGCTGCCAACAGGGCCCTCACAGTATAGAACCTAAGATGGGGAATCAAGGCCCTGGGGTCCCAGCCTCTGGCCCCAGGGACTCTGGAGGCTCAGCCCACACAGCTCCTCTCCCATCCCTGCCCTGCACCTGCTTAGCTGCCCCAAGCCCTCCTCTCCCCCCTTCTTCTGCTCTGTTCCCCTCCAGGTGCTTCACCAGACCCCATGCCCTCCGGGCCCTTCACCTGCTCCTGGGACTGTTGTGCTTGCGGACATCTGTGCTCCACATCTATGTTCTCATGCTGCTCCTGGCCCCTCTGGCTGGGCCCAGCCTCTGAGCCCTCTCCAGGGCCTCGGCCTCTGCTGGTGTGCTCCTTTCACCATGGCCACTGGGTGGCTGCCCTAGAGCGGGAAAGTGAATTCTGGGGAGGTGCTGGTGAGGATCCTAATCCCCAGCAGGGTGAACTGTGTTTTGTTGTTTTCTTCCAAAGGGTGCACAGAAAAGGCAACATTTTAAAATCCTATTAAGGAGTCGTGGATCTCTGGCCTTGTAGCCTCTGCAGAAATGAAGGGTGGAATGGGAACGGCCCAGTGTCTCTGCAGGGGCCACCAATCTTGTGGGAGGTGTTCAGGTGGTGCTGGAGGGCTGGGGAGTTGGGCTGGAGGTCTTCCTGCTGGTTTCCTGGCCCCCCTCCAGCTGAGGGCCTGGCAAGGTGGTGGTGGGCGGCAGGGCTTCCTCCTGCAGGGGACCTGGCAGCGAGAATGTGTTGGGCCCCGAGGCCTCCCGCATCACAGGCCCTGACCTGGAGGCCATGCTGGGCTTCCAGGCATCCGGCAGCAGGGGCCCTAAGCTGGACACCGAGCTCTACATGCTGGTGTCCTCCTGCGGGATGCCTGGCCCGCAGGTGGTGGTGGGCTTCTGGGCGTCCTGCTTCGGGGACTCTCCCACCAGCAAGACTTCGCGCCCCGAGACCTCAGGCTGCAGGTGGTCTTCTGGCATCAGGAAGCAGTGGGCCCCATGAGGACTGAGGAGCTTGGGGGAGATGGCAGGGTCTGACCCCTCCTTGTCTGCCCGCTGTCTGGAGAGCAGCATGAGGTAAGTCCCCATCACGTGATCGTACCTGGCCTCCAAAAGTGCCCTGTCGATGACCTCTTTCCGGATCCCCAGGCGGACCATGGTTTCTATTGCGGCCTTGTGCCGGCCCAGGGACGGCTCACGGCAGGCGAGAGTCCATTGGGTAGCCCCACCCAGGGGTGCTGGATGACGCTGTCCAGGGTGCTACGGCTCTGGTGGTCGAGCGTCATCATCTTCCTCATTAAGTCCCGGTTCTGCTGGGAGAGGTAGTGCGGCTCGTGGTAGATGCTGCTCAGCACCCTGGCCCGCAGCTCCCCGAAGCTGTTGCCCTCGAAGGTCAGCTCCCCGGTGACCATGTCGTAGAGGACCACCCCCAGGCTCCAGACGTCCGCCGCAGGGCCACTGTACTCCTGGCGACAGAAGAGCTCGGGGGACGCGAACTCCGGGCTGCCGCAGGGGGTCTTGAGCAGCGCCGCCCCGGAGAACTGGGCACTGAGCCCGAAGTCTGCTAGTTTTATGTTTCGGTGCCAGTCCAGGAGCAGGTTCTCCGGCTTCAGGTCCCGGTGTGCCACGCCATGGGCGTGGCAGTGGCTGAGCGCGGCCAGGATCTGCCGGAATAGGCGGCGCACCTCCATCTCCCCCAGGCACCCGCACCTGCACAGGTAGTCCTGCAGGTCACCCCTCTGTGCGCTCCAGGACCAGCAGCACCTCGTCCTCGGTGTCCAGCACCTGGAAGAGCTGCAGAACGTTTGGGTGCCAAAGGACTTTCATGCAGGCCACCTCGCGGGCCAGGAACTTGTCACGGTTGCCGCCCTTGGGCACGATCTTTATGGCCACCTCCGTGCCCGTCGGAGGTGCAGCGCCAGCTTGACCTTGCCGTAGCCGCCCTCCCCCAGCGTGCGGAGCATCACATACTGTCTCAGGGCCATTCCCTGGGCAGACGGGCGCATCGGGGCAGTGAGGGCGGACCCGCTCCTACGCTCGCAGGCCCTGGCTGTTTAGAGCCCTCGGCACTAGCTCCGCTACCCGATTAACAAGTGCACTATTAGCCTAGAGCTAGTGGTACGTGAAAGGATCCCGAAACTAACTAAATGCTCCCAGCGCTGACTACTCTACCGAAACACTAAGGACGCTAACTTGCCTCTAGCAGAAACAGTAACTATGCTAACCTAACTAGGATACTAATACTAACTAACTACGCACTCAAAAATGAAAACACACAACCAAAAAATTAACAAAGATAAATATTTAAAAATATAATAAAAAAACAATAACAAACTAACCTCTAAAGTTAACAAGAACACAGACAAAACGAACAAACCACAAGAGAAAAAGAACAATTACAAACTAACAACTAAAATAAAAATTAAAAAAAAAAAACAGACAAACAACAAAGGGGAAAAACAGCACACACAAAAATAACACGAGGGAAAATGTGGGAAATAAAAAATTAAAAACAAAAAAATAAAATAATAAAAATGAAAAAATAAGCAAATAATAAAACAATAAAGGAAAATAAAAAACAAAGAATTAAAAATAAATAAAAATAACTAAAATAAAATAACTAAAATAAATAGCTAAAATAAACAACTGAATAAGAAATAAACAAAGCAAAAGCAATCCAACCCACCACATGCCTCTCTCTCCCTCCGAGTCCACCGTCACGATCCCAACACTCCTCGCTCTACCTACACCACCGCGGGCCACGCGGGGGCTTAAGGAGGCTCCGCGGGTGACATCACAGAGCTCTCTGTGGCGTCAGAGCAGAGGCCACGCCCCCGGCAGAGGGCACCCCGGGGGCCATTCAGCCTTCACGGGACAGCACCCGCCAAGAGGTGTGTGGACAGACGCCCTGGAGACCGGAATCCACCCCGTTCCAGAAGCCCGCGGGGCGCTGGCGAGGCCGTGTCCTCTGTCGCGAGCACCTGTCCCAGGTTTCGGCTTTTAGGGTCTCTCCGCACAGTCCCCCTCAAACCCTGATGCGTCTCACATGACACGACACATCCACGGGCACAATAAACAACACCATGTTGGGAGCATGAGACGCGGCAGAGTCCGCTCTTCACACCCCGACACTGATAGCTCTCTGGGACATGGTCCCCCCGTTTGGCCCACGAGCTGCGTGTGCCCCTCGGCGTCCTCGCAGGCCGGAGGCCGGGGCGGCTCCCAGGGCGGCAGAGGCTATAAAGCGGGCCCTGGAGGGGGTGTCCACAGCACTGTGGGGACACCCGCTGACCTGACTCAGCCTGGGCTGGGGGCAGCTGGGGCTGGTCAGCTCCCCCCGAGATTTCTGGCTTGGAAATATCTGCGTCTGGGCTCCCGTTGGCAGCGGGTTGAATGCAGCGCTGTGGAGCTGTCCGCACCTCTGCAGCGCCGGTTCGATTCCCGGCCCGCCAGGGAGGCGAGCAGACCTCTCCTTTCCTGCCCGCTGTGACCCTCAGCAGTGTATTTCGTCAGTCTGCCTGTTCTGCTCCCCGCTCTGTCTCTGGTGAATCCTCTCTCCCTCACACCTCTGGACTGTACACCGTTTCTTGTATAAATATATCTTTAAAAACTTAAAAAAAAAAATATGCTTCTTGCTTGAACTCGAGGTCGGGGAGCTGAGGTTGGCAAAGGCCAGGTCCAGACACTGTGGCCCTGTGCCCTGCGGGGAACGGCCTGGCTTCTGGAAGTGGTGGGTTTGCTTGAGCAATGGGGTTCCACTGCTGCTCAGGCTGCAGGTTCCCCCCGCCAGGCCAACCCTGATCACTCACGCACAGCATCCGCTGAGGACCAGGTCTCCCCTGAGCAGCCTGGGGCGCGACCAGAGCCCCGAGGCTCAGAGCCTGGGCTCTGGGTGTTGGGCCCGGTGGCCCCAGCGCCGCGTGTCCCAGGCCTGGAGGGCGGAGGGTGTCATCCTCTCGGGGCACAGGATGCCCAGGGCAGGTTCCCGTGGGTCCGCCCCCCAGGCACCTGACCCAGCAGTGGCCAGGAGAGGCTGTGCTGCTCCTCCTGTGACCACGGCTGCTACAGGCTGCCGCGCAGAGAGGACGCAGCCTCTCCCATGACGGGGGAGGACTCGAGGGCCTGTTCCTGTCTTTCTTCCCAACCTCCACGGCCGCCTCGGGGGAGTCCGCGCTCTGTGGCCGCCTGTGTCCACGCCCGCATCAGCCTCAGGGGCTGCCAACCCCACGGAGGCTCCGCATCCCTCTCGCCTCTGAGAACCCACGATGCCCCCACCAGCCTGGGATGCTGCGCGTCACGGGCCAGGGCTGCGGCCCCGCACTGGTTCCTCCCCTTCCTTCAACCTCCCCCACACCCAGGGAACAGCGAGAGCATCAATCAGATCATCCGCTCGCTGGCCTCACGCCTTCCTGTGGCCCTACTGGGCTTAACACTTCCCCAAAACCCCTTTGCACAGGCTTCCCTGCCCCTCTGGCCTCAGCCCTGCCCCCACCCGCCTCCCCTCCCTGTCCAGCCCTGCTGCGTGAGCTGCCCTTTTTTTATTTTTTCTTTAATTTTATGTACTTTACATCATTTTTCATTTTTGCCAATGTATGCATTTTCACCTTGGTTATAGTTCCCGTACAATTCCCACCCCACCTTGATGATCCTACTCCCTCATCCCCCGCATGGTAGTGTGTCTCTGGCTTGTAGTTGCTGTTGATTGTAATTTTTACTTTATTATAATTAGTATTTTCCTGGTCCCTTTTTTAGGTTTTCTAAATTCCTGCTATGCGTGAGATCATCTGGTATTTTTCTTTTTCTTTCTGGCTTATTTTCCCCAAGCATGACCCCTTCCAGCTCCATCCATGTTGCTGCAAATTGCATGAGTTTATCTTTTTTGATAGCTGAGTCATTTTCCATTGTGTATATGCACCACATCTTCTTGATCCTGTCATCTATTTTGGGATATTTGGGTGTCATTTCTGCCACATCCTGTTACCACCTGGGGCATTTGCAATTGTTCTTGCAGAATCCCCAGATGTGCCTACCAGCTCTCTGGCCTTGCTTTCCTCCAAACCACATGTCACTTCTGACCGCCTTGCAGGCAGGTGCTGCACATTTCTTCCTGAACCACATCCTCTCCTCCCTTCACAGTGTCATCTGCACCTAAATCATACTAACATGTTTTCAGAATTTCATGGTAGAATGGAATTCCCTCCTGTGTCTTGAGCTCCTGACACAGTTTTGCTTATGACAAGAATGCTTTTGACTGACCCAAACCAGTCCTAAAACAAGAACATTCTAAAGAACAGTACATGTTGACTGTCCCCTTGCCTTTTTACATGGGAACATTTTCTCACTCTCCATCAGGAAATAGATTCAAACAGTTTGACTAGGGAAACTTTGTTTTAAGCAATATTTCAAAATACTTCATGACAAATGTCACGTGCGATGTCATAAAGGTTTACATCATCAGCCACATTGAGTTTTTTTTTTTTCTTTGCTGTATTTTAATCAGTTGGCTTAATTTTAGAAGTGCCTCACAGTCCAAATCAGTGTCAATACTTATGTCTAAACATACAAGGAATGCAGATGTGGAAAGAAGAAGCAAAACTATCACTTTTTGCAGACAATATGATAATATACACTGAGAACCCTAAAAACTCCACAGAAAAACTACTCAAAATAATCAACCAGTTCAGTAAAGTGGCAGGATTCCAAATCAACACTCAAAAATCGGTAGGCTTTCTATACACAATCAATCTGCAGAAGAAGAAATCAAGAAAACCATCCCTTATGTAATTGAAACAAAAAAAAAATGAAATACTTGGGACTGTACCCCAGTTCTTGTAAGCATAAATAAATAAATCTTTGGAAAAAAAAAAAAAAGAATATTGAATTTGCTAGCATAGTCAGTCACAGTGCTCTCAGGACCTTTGTATTTCTCTGCTAGCTGTAGTAATTTCCTTTTTTTTTCTAATTCCATTCATACATTTTCTCTTGCTTCCATTGTTAGCCTAGCTAAAGATTTATCAATGCTGTTTATTGAAGAAGTAACTCTTAGTTCATGGATCTTTGTTTTGGCTTTTTGACTTGTGTTTCATTTATTTCTGCTCCAATTTAAATAATTTCCTTTCTTTATTTATTTTGTTATTCTTTGTTTTATTTCTCAAGTTGCTCATGGTGTACTTTTTAATTATTTATTTGGGATTTATGTTACTTCTGGGTGTAGGACCCTTCTGCAATTCCCACTCAAAATCCTTTCTCCCTTACCCCATATGTTATTTTTGTTCAAGGAGTCAATAAAAAATAATCTTTTAAAATGAATTTGAGTAAGATGGGTTTCCACCAGTGTTAGTATTTTGTAAGGTCTCTGTGCCCTATGTGCAGTCACCAAAGTGCACCCACTGCAAAAACACCCGCAGTCTGCCCCCATAGCCATTGTGCTTTCTCCCGCATCTCTCTCACCCCTCCCTATTCTTCTTCCCCTTGGGGACCTCAGTTCTGTGACCAGGGGAAAGGATTACTTTTAAATTTTGAGGTTCCTTTATTTGCTTTCTCTATAGTCCACATACAAGTGATGCTACCTGGTATTGTCTTTTTCCTAGTGACTTATTTCACTCTGCATAATGTCTTTTAGTTCCATCCATGTTGCTATAAATGGCATGAGTTTATCTTTTTTTCATTGCTGAGTAGTATTCCATTGTGTATACACATCACAGCTTCTTGATCCATTTATCTGATCGGACACTTAATTTGTCCCCACATCTTGGTTATTGTAAATAGTGCAGCAATAAACATGGGAGAGCAAGTTTCCTTTCAAGTTAGTGTTTTTGTATTTCAGTAGTAGAAACCTAGGAGTAGGATTGCTGGGTCACGTGGCAGATCAACATTTTGTCTTTTGAGAAAACTCCATACTGTTTTCCATAGGAGCGACACCAGACTACCAACACCAACAGTGAAAAAGTGTTCTTTTGACTCCATATCCCCACCAACACTTGTT